AAATAAATCCTTGCTAGACTATGTTTGAATATTCCTCCGGTAGGGGGACGTGCCCGGCTCAACGCCGGCGGTGCCGTCCAGTCGTCGTCCTGCCAGGAAGGCGGCCGAGCCAGAGGGATCGGGTCGGGCGAAAGGGGGGGATAGCAAGGGGGGGGGGGTAAGAATCAGCTCACGCAGCTGATTTTCCCGGCGCCCATATTCGGCGGTGGACAAACCTCCATTTAGTAAACCTCCCCTTAGTGAAAACGGCCTGGGACCGAAACCGACGGACCTGGACCCGCAAAAATGACGCCCGCGACGCCCTCTCGCGAGCCGAGAACGGCCAATTCGCTAATCGACGTGTCAGGGTAGGAGGTCTATCAGCCTCCGACAGATGCCTCGAGGAATGGACCCAGCGGCGGGGCCGAAACCAGCTGCATGCAGCAGACTTCGTACTTGGACGCCCGAGTTATCCGGGGTAACTCGGGTCCGGGGTAACTCGGGTTTGGGTTTCCGAAAAACGAACCCGAGTTAGCCCTGACCCGAGTTACCCCTGATGATTCTGGGGCTCTGGACGCCCGAGTTATCCGGGGTAACTCGGGTCCGGGATAACTCGGGTTTGGGTTCCCGAAAAACGACCCCGAGTTAGCCCTGACCCGAGTTACCCCTGATAATTCGGGGCTCTGACGTACCCCCCCTTTCCCCTTTCGTCCGGCGGAGGGAGCGGACGGGGGCCGCTCTCCCGGCGACGGCGGGCTTCGGCCACGCTCCGAGCGGGCTCTCCCCGGCCGGGGCCTCAGGGCAGTGGGGTCCACCACAGGGGGGGGGGGGGGACCCTGGAGGGGGGACTGGCATGATGCATGGGCTTAAGAGGAGCCGAGGTTCAACGTCTTGACCGCATCTTTTCGTTTGGGTGAACCCCGATTTCGCAGCCCAGCATGACGGCGTGGACGAAAAGGAGGGCGTAGTATTATGTTGCTCCCATCGAACTTAAGGACCACATCCCAGAAATGATTTCGGGCACCCGGAAAAGTGTCAAGAGAGTGTCGAAACAGGGGGGCGAGGGTCTCCCAGGGCCCGAGATGTGGAAGCCGTTGAATGTCGGTACTTTTCCTGGCGCTCGACATTCTTTCTGCTGATCAGGGCTAAAATAGGTTGGAGCACCATAAGACTGGCATAGGAGGGGACGCATCAACCTTGAATCGGCGATACATCGTCGATAGATCGGCGGTAGGCCCCCAACAGCGAAACCACACCTCCCTGGGCGAGCTTGGGATACGGGGCCCCCATCAGCGATCAATTCGGGGTCCACCAAAAGGAGGGGGGACGCTGAGGGGGGGGGGAGTTCGATCCGCTGGCGCATCGAACTTCCGAGAAACGATGCCCCCCCCGCGCGCCCCGATTGTCGACGCCTCTCGGGTTCCGGCGGCGGCCGGGGACCTCGTTTTGCCTCGCTGCTCTGCGGTTCGATGAGCCGACGAACCAAACTCACCCCCCCCTGACCCTGACCTTCCAGAGCGCTAAGAAATAGCACTCCAAACCTATAGATCTATCTGGACTGCCTCAAACCTCGACAGCAATTAGGACGTCGACATCCTGGTGCTATTTTTTGCCCTCCTGGAAGGTCAGGGGAGCCCCCCCCCCCTTTGCGAAGTCCCGAAAGGAGCGGCCCGAAGACGAGAGCCCCTCCGAGCCCCGGAAGTGGCCCTTCTGTTGGGGTGGCTCCGCCGCTGGCGTCCTCTTGTCCGTCAGCCCTTCGCTGCGCCTGCAGTGGAGGCCAGTCCACAAGAACAGCCTTCCACCAGGACCCCAACCCCGAGACCCCAGGACGTCCACGGATTTTTTGTGTGAGAGCGGCACGCTTCCCACAGTAAAACTATCGCGGCCCAAGAAACTCAGGGCACCCTGGAGGCAAGCAAGGTGTCTCGAGGCATGGGTCTCCACTGTACTGCGTCGAAAGCCTGGTGGCGGGAGCCGAGGGGAGCTGGTGATTGAGCCTCAGCCCGTGGGCTTAAGAGGAGCCGAGGTTCAACGTCTTGACCGTATCTTTTCGTTTGGGCGAACCCCGATTTCGCAGCCCAGCATGACGGCGTGGACGAAAAGGAGGGCGTAGTATTATGTTGCTCCCATCGAACTTAAGGACCACATCCCAGAAATGATTTCGAGCACCCGGAAAAGTGTCGAAAGAGTGTCGAAACAATGTCGGACGAGTGTCCCTCAGGGTCCGACACGTGAAAACCATCGAATTTCGGTATTTTTTGGGTGCTCGAAATTCTTTCTGGTGATCAAGGCTAAAGTAGGTTGGAACATCATAAGCGTAATATAATGGGGATTGCCGAGGCGGCTACACGAGCTGGCTCTCCAGGCACCTCACGACGCCAGGGCGACAGTGCATCAAGCAAAGTGCTCGCCGGCAGAGCCGGAACAATTTTCGCCCCCCCCTCTTTTAAGTCGGGCCTGTCCCTCTACAGGAGAAATATTCAAAAATAGTAAAAAATAGTCGTGGGACGATTTGCTTGACCATGTTTTGATATTTAAAACAATTTGTTGTCTGGAATCGGCCTGTAGGGGGACAGGCCCGACTTAACCCTCTTTCCCACCACCCCCAATGCGTCCGTCCCGATAGGATCAGCTGCAGTGGAGGCCAGTCCACAAAAACCTTCCACCAGAAACCCAACCCTGAGACCCCAGGACATCAATTAGTTTTTTGGTGTGGGAAGGCTATTTTTTCTGAAGCGGAACCATCGAAACCCAAGAAATCCAGGGCACCCTGGAGGCACGCTGCCATAAGGAACGCCGAAGGAAGAGCGACGGGCCTCGCCTGACCACGACGGCCCCCAGCCGCGAATAGGCCCCTTGACCTAGATCTATGAAGAGGCCCAGGGACACAACTACTAAAGACACACATCCCAGGATTCCCAATCTTTTTGATATTTTTGGAAATTCGTCTTCCCCCCCACTGCCCAGATTTTCCCACATTTTCATTTGAATCGACGAGTGCTTGTGTCTGTGGTTTTTCCTCCTCCTGAACTCAAGGACAACAACCGAAGCCCTCCGAACGCAACGTTGCCCCTCTTTAAGCGCCTTGACACCCGAGCTCCCACGCATTGAAACAGCTCAAGACGGCCTCTTTTCCGTTCCAGCCTTCGGCCTCGAGAGGCCCTCTCCGGGCCCCAGGACCGTTCGAAAGCGACGCAGGATGCAGCACCGGTCCTGGGGAAGGGGTCGACCCCTTCTGGGGAGACGCACTGGAACAAAAACACGGCACCGTGCAGCCGGGGCGCTGACCTAAGGAACCCTAAATAAGAAACGAGGCCCCTATTTTCGCAAGTTTAACTTCGATTTCCCATCGAAGCAAATCAAGGAACACGGAGCCCCTCCCCAACGAAAAGGGTTCCTTCTTCAGCGCCCCGACTGTACCCCTGGGACCGCCGCGGCCTCGAGGATAAGGCCTGCCTGGCCCGTGGCTCCCCGGGCGCCGCCCCGCGGCCCGCAGCGTGGCCGACGGCCGCGCCGCGCCGGGAGAGGCGGAGGCCCTGCGTGGGAAACCGCCCCCGGGGCTCCCCCCAGGTCTGCTTCCCAAATCCATGGACGTCCCCTCGGCTCCCCTCGGCTCCCCTCGGCTCCCGCCGCCAGGCTTTCGACGCAGTACAGTGGAGACCCATGCCTCGAGACACCTTGCTTGCCTCCAGGGTGCCCTGAGTTTCTTGGGCCGCGATAGTTTTACTGTGGGAAGCGTGCCGCTCTCACACCAAAAGTCCACGGACGTCCTGGGGTCTCGGGGTTGGGGTCCTGGTGGAAGGCTGTTCTTGTGGACTGGCCTCCACTGCAGGCGCAGCGAAGGGCTGACGGACAAGAGGACGCCAGCGGCGGAGCCACCCCAACAGAAGGGCCACTTCCGGGGCTCGGAGGGGCTCTCGTCTTCGGGCCGCTCCTTTCGGGACTTCGCAAAGGGGGGGGGGGCTCCCCTGACCTTCCAGGAGGGCAAAAAATAGCACCAGGATGTCGACGTCCTAATTGCTGTCGAGGTTTGAGGCAGTCCAGATAGATCTATAGGTTTGGAGTGCTATTTCTTAGCGCTCTGGAAGGTCAGGGTTGGAGACCTCCAGAAAGGCACCGCTGGGTTTCGAGACGCGGGGTCCCCGCCAGGTTTGGCGACTCCCGAGGGCCCACCATCGTTCGAGGCGTCCTCGAAAAGCAGCACAAACATCTCCGAGTCGGGTGGCGGCACGAGATCGCCCGAGACTCACCGCCGGGTGTTCTCACCACCACGCTTGGGGCCTACCAGTTCCATCCCGAATCGTTTCTTGGCGAGGCCGGGATCTAGGGGAACAAAAAGCGACATAAACATAAAAATTCGGAGGTCCGCGCGGATTTCTCGGATCGGCGCTGGACCCCCCTCCCTGGCGCGCGGAGCGCGCCAGGGGCGGCGCCGGAGGCGCCGCCGGGGGGCCCCAGCGCGGGTCCGAGAAATCCGCGCGGACCTCCGAGTTGTTATGTTTATGCCACTTTTTGCCCCCCTGGGATCGGAACCTTCGACCCCTTCCCCCTCCTGGCGGGCCACGGCGGCCGTCAGCGGCAAGGCGCCTCGGGCTGCGCAGGGGCGGCGGCCCAAGGCAGTCCCCAGCTGGGCCTCCCCGTGCCTCCCGGAACAGAAGTCCAGGGGGGCCTCGGCACCTCGGCTCTGTGGCGCGGAGCGCTCCGATGGGGGCCGCCGGAGCGGAGCCGACGTGCTGGGACCGCCCCAGGCTACGCGGACGGGGGGGCCCGGTTGAGGCCACCTGGGACTACTACAGTGAAGGGGCCCTGGGACACACCAAAATAAATACACACAAACAGCAGGAATCCCCATAGTTTTCCCATATTTTCTGGGTCTTTGTTTTCCCCGCCACTTCCCATCTCTTCCCATCTTTTCTGGGGAATCGGCGATTCATTGTGTCTGCGTGTTTTTTCCCCTCCTGATGCAGGGGGCTGTCTGTGCGCAACCCGAAGTCGTCCGTCATCCCTCGACGTGACGGCGCCCTGGTCCCGTCCTCGGCGAACTGGAGGCCCAGGAAGAAGCTGGCCGCCTTCAC